TTTTGCACTGAAAAAAAGAGTCTGTGATTTAAACTAGAGGTTGGAATACCTGCATAACTGCAACTTGTACAGGGTATAATGGCAGCCATTCCAAATAAAAGATTACAGCCTTCAGCCCAAATAGTTCTGAGTTTGATTCCTTACTGAAAAGTCAGCAGTTTTTTCAGTAGGAATGAACCCTTAACTGACAATGTAGGCAGCTGTGCACTGAGGGACTATTAGAAAAGAAAAGCATTTTTGTTCCTCTGTGTATTATTTAAAATTGTACATATTTTTTCAGGTTAAGTCCTGTAAAAGTCATTGGGACTTAAAACAGCAGTGGATTTTGGCTCATGTCCATGAAATTAGATAACTATGAAAATCTATTACTTGACAATTTTTCTGGTTGAACTAGATTAAAATACATCTTCAATTTCATCTTGCATGCCACACAAATCCCTTTTGTACTTCTTAACAAATTTACTACAAGGTCTTTTAGTTCACATAAGATAGTTACTTCTCTACATGTTTCAATACAAAAGTACCCAAACATTTTTGAAGCATAGGTTAAGCAACAAAATACGTGATATATTTTACATTTTTTCTTTACTGTCTTTTCATCTATAACTCAATGAATAGCAATTCAAAGTAAGAGAACTACACTGAAAGATGGATTTGCAAGAGTGATAGGTACTTTTAGCTTGCATACCTAAGTAAAGAAGGTTTTTAAGATTGCACAGTCTGTCCATCTGTCCATCCCTCCCCTGCTTCTATTTTTGTACTGCTTTGTCCCATTTCCCATGCACTGGAAAGAAGGACAGACATCACCACTTTGCCACTCATGAGAGCATGGGGGAAAGTACTTCCTTCCTAACATTTACCCTCTCTGCCCTCAAAAACTTATTGGAGAACACAGGAAAATAATATTAAATGAAAAATCAACCACAGCAGCAAACAAAAAGCAGAAAAATTGCATTGCCATTATACACATTTCACTTTGAACACTGTGATAGAGATACTCAGGTGGGGGGGAAGTGTTATAAAACACTGACAGTATTTTGGTAGAAGCATTTATGGAACTGTACTTAAAGGTTTTGTGGAAAAGTCATGCCTTGTCTGAAGTTATGAATTAATGTAGTTGAGATATAAGACAGGATTTTAGATTTATGGTTGCAAAGTGTGTCAGAGCTTAGCCCTCCTCCCCCAGAAAATTATTATTTAAGCTTCAGGCCTACTGGCTCAAGGGTGGGAATCACTTTGAAATACTTTTTCTAAGATCCTAAGATCCTAAGCTTAGAAGAATTCAGTCAGATTTCTACAACTTGAGCTTTGGATCGGCACAGCCTCAATATTATAATTCTGTGCTTTATGATTACAGGCAAAAAAAAAAATATAGGTCAGATTAAGTCAGTGAGACCCTCTGGCAACATCTAAATTTATAAATAAAATTGTCAGGGTCTGTTTTCTATCCCTGAGGCCATTGGGCAGGAGCTTGGCCACAACCCCCCTGTTAGATGCTCGGCTGCTTTCAACAGGGCAGCACAACCAAGCCATGCACTGAGAACAGAGCTGAGCTGACCTTAGTTTGATTGTGTACAGGATTTTTTTCTGCAGATTTTAATCACTGTAGAGCAAAAAATGCAAGAAATTATTTTAACAAATCATCGGTATGATTCAAGTCCAGTGCCTAAGTCCATGCTGTACCGCCCCATAATTTATAAGACACTGATGAGCCTTCCTCTGATATAAATCAACAGTACTACCCATTTGCACAAAATCATGTTTGTAGATGGATTATTTTTAGCCATTTAACCAAGTTCTGAGTTTAAATAAACACATAAAGATAATTTCAATTTACAGAGATTATCCTCTTTTACTCATTTCTAATCACAAGTGACTATCTTGATTTGTGATGGTGCCCAATTTTATATGCTTCTTTCCGTAGTCTGCTGTTTAAGGTGCTCCTGTAGCAAATGCCTCTCTCCTCCTACCCCTTATTCAATTCTGGTATCCCTTTGTCCTCCTAGAAAAAATAAAGGAAAACTATACACAAATGCATAATGAGGTAGTAAGACTGAAGCTTAGTATATAACCAGTATACAACAAAGCATATTAAAATTTCTTTAGTGATCTGATTAGCAATCAAATATTTGACATTCCAGCTGCCCAGTCACCATAAAGCAACTGTCCTCTGCCCCACAGTGTGATTCCTGAGAGGTGACTGTGGAAGGTACCTACACAGCAGCAGATCTATTTATCATTTGTGAATCTTATTAGTTTGCTACTTTGAGGTCTTTAGTGAGCTGAAAAGTGGTACAAATACTCAAAACTTTGACAGAAAAAATATATGCATGTTACATGATGCACACACTAAAAGCAATGACAAAATAATGCACTTTACTGACAAAAAAAAAATTGATAAATTAATATAAACAACCAAACAAATTGGAAGCACAACATTTTCACATATGAGGCATTTGACAAAGAAATGCAAGGTGCTATGCAAGTCCTACACAACCTATATAACAGCTGAGTAACTAGCTATCCATGAGCTCTTCTCAGGCTCTGGCAGCTTGCTCAGAAGACTGGCCTTTAGTCCCTGCCTTGAGGTTGTTGCACAATATGAAAAGAAAGAAAAAGCAAGTGAGCAAATAAAGATCCGCAGGATCCTCATTAAAAATATGTTTGGAGAATTATTTCTGAAATACAATGCTAAAATTCAGAGGATGAATTTATAAGCATTTTTCTCTAGTATTCCTTGAGATTGATTTGGACATAAAGAAGAAAACTACTATCTTGCAAAAACAGTAGCAAACATAGCTCATTAAAAGCCTAAAAGAATTTAGAAATTCCATGAAACAAATAACTAAATTACTGAGAGACTATGTAATAAACTAATCTTAATTTCTTTTAAGTTTTTATTGTATTTTGGAAGATATGTTTATAATTACATGATTCTTAAAACATTAAGCCTAGAGGTCTGACTGTAGCATCAGTTCTGTACTAGCTGGTACAGTTTTCTACTGTAATTACCATATTACTGTTGAACTTTGTCTATGACAAAATATCAGAAAAAAAAAATTGAAGAAATTCCATAATTCTTTATCTTACGCTCTGACATTTATAATTGTTCATGCTAATAACTGAGAATTGATTTAATGTTAATGCTTTAATTTGTGAATGTTAAAATCTCAGTAAATACAACAAGCAGAAAATAAAATAGAAAGCTGAGAATTAAATGGAATATTTTGAATAAATGTGTGTATGAGAAAGAATTCTTTTGAATTTAATTTAATATATAAACGAGATTATCTATTAAAATACCACAATGACTATATATATTTTAAATTAATAAAAATATTTATCACCTCTGTTAAATATTGTTTAAACAGGAGTTAGAACTCCCACTATGCCTCCTTGCAAACAACATCAGAACCCTAAACAACACAGTGCCTACTGTTCAAATTAATTTCTCTACGGATAACACTTAGAAACGAGTAATCTTCCTGGTATGATCAAATCACCTGCATTAGGCACTTTATTTGTGCCTAAGCTTTAGGTGGACAGATAAGCACCCATTTGAACTACGTGCCTAAGGCCCTACTGCAGTCTGCCAAGACAGCTTAAGACCTCAAGGGAAGAATTTAAGTGACTAAACTTAAGCACTGAATTTATGTAATAACACTCCTCACCTGGGAGCTTTTAAAGGCACATACTTCTTTTCCTTAGGATAGTTTAGGCTTTTACTTTAGCAGGATGCTTTACAAGATGCCTAAAATTTAGGGAGGACTTTGATGAATTCACTCCTTATCCATTGCATCTAGCTTGGATATTCTACTTGTTTGTTTTATTTTTTGAAAAAAAGTGTAATTGCCTGATGCTGTTTCAAATCTGCATGTGAGAACAACTGAGACTTCTATCACAGAAACCTGCAATATTTGGTATTTTTTACAGAGAATATGCCCTAAGATTAAAATGTCTTCCTTTCATCTAATTTTTTGATAGCAGGAAGAATTATCTGTGCATATAAGAAGATGATTTCAGAAGGAAGGTTAGGAATATGTTGAAAGTAAAACCATATTATTTCCTTAGCAAGGAGAAAATCCATTTTGCTTACATATAAGTCAAGGTTAGAGCTGTAGGAAAGAAAAGGTGGGTGGCCCAGAAACATCTTCACGTTTTGTTATGTTCATCCTATACTGGAAGTATCATCCTCCAAACAAAACAGTTTATTAAAGAAGCTGTTCTCAAGCATACAGAGCATCACATCAAAGGGTAGCATCAAGGCAATCTGTGAACGAATAAATGAATGGGTCATGGAAACTTTATTCATAGATAAGAAAACCCTATGGCAAGTTTTCTAAAACTGAGTGCCTATAGGCAGGCTTCTTAGCTGAGTCTAAATCTCTTCACAGTTGATCTACCATGATACTTAAATACACACTTAACATTACCTTGTGCATACACGGAGGTTACTTAATGTGCTTAGAGCCAAGCATGTGCTTAAATATTTTCCTAGATCTGAAAGAGAGTATTTAGTGTTTTGCCAGAGCTAAACTCTCAGGCCTTGAAAGAACCCAACTGTGGAACTATAATTTTTCAAACATATAGAAGTAAGATAAAAGTTCAATTCCTACTGCAGTTGTCTTCAATATTACTTCTTTACTACAGTGAAGACTGTAGAAATTGCCTGTGTGCCCAGCACTTTTCAAGTATTCAGAGGCCAAATTTTGGACACACACTTTTCAAGTATTATTCCACATTTCTATCTAATAAGGGGGAGTATGAATGACCATGAGAGCAGAAATCAAAATGGCACTAGAACTATTACTGAATGAATATTCATTTAGAATTTTAGATTGATGCAGAAGATGACAAACTGATTCAGTTTGACTTAGTATTTGTTAACTCATGGATTCAAAATATTTATCAGATTGTGAAAACTCTTAACATTACAGATAACACAGCTAAAAGCTTCTTATAAAATCACAAAGTTGCAATATTGTGAATGAAATAACTACTTTTTTAAGAAAATAATTTATTTTCCATAGTCACAACATATAATCTAGTATCAGTTACTGTACATATATTTTCTTGCAATACTCTGACTGTCTATGAATAATGGATCCACAGATGCCACCTTTGCTGCTATAAAGGAGTGAATACAGTGTAAAACTGCCGTCAGATCCTGAAATTCAAGTTCCTGAAAGAAGTAAAAGAAAAAAAAAAGAAGAGAAAATGTGAATTCATATTCAGGCTTATAAACATTTTATATGAATACAGAACAGAACAGTCAGCAAACAACAATGGATTTAACATGAAATTTGAATCTTTATAGGGAAATGTAACATTAAAACTTTAAAAGCTGTATATCCACACCCTCTTCACTGCAGGTGTCACATGTCAACTTAGTTTTTCACGTTGTGCTACCTTGTTGTTTACCTTTTACTCAGCTTGAACAAGGGATGCAGTCAACTGGTAAGAACATTCAAATATTGCAACATAGAATCATTTAGGTTGAGAAAGACCTTTAAGATCATTGAGTCCAACCATCAACCCAGCACTTCCAAGTCCACCACTAAATCATATCTCTAAACGCCACATCTACATGTCTTTTAAATACCTCCGGGGTTGATGACTCAACCACTTCCCTGGGCAGCCCGTTCCAATGCTTGACAACCCTTTCAGTGAAGAAATTTTTCCTAATATCCAATCTAAACCTCCCCTGGCACAACTTGAGGCTGTTTCCTTTCACACTATCACTTGTAACTTGTTTCAGGTAGTTGTAGAGAGCAATAAGATCCTCCCTGAGACTCCTTTTCTCCAGGCTAATAACCCCAGCTCCCTCAGTTGTTCCTCATATGACCTGTGCTTCAGACTCTTCAGCAGCTTCATTGCTCTTCTCCAGACATGCTCCAGCACCTCAGTGTCTTTTTTGCAGTGAGGGGCCCAGAACTGAACACAGGATTTGACCTGCGGCCTCACCAGTGCTGCGTACAGGGGGACAATCACTTCCTTAGTCCTGCTGGCCACACTAGTTCTGATACAAGCCAGGATGTACAACCACAAGACTGTGGTGCTTTGTGTTTGTAGGACGTGCGATGTCTGTGGTAGGTATTTGTGAAGGTTGCTCAGAGAAGTGGTGTTCTGGTGGTGGATATAGCTTGCATGTAGATAACAACAGGGGAAGGGGAAGAGGACTGGGGGTTAGTTTGAAAGTATGGATTTAGTAAAAGATGTTGATGGCTTTCTGAGTTGGGAACATGTAAATGTTGCATGATCTGAGGACAGGGACACAATATGTCTCTTAGCAAGATACTACCTTGAATACAGTTTTAAGGGTGGAAACTTGGCCTCTTCAGGTTTAGAATATAATGTGAACTTTTTCTAGAAAATAACACCAATGACACCTCTTCAAACAAACACATTGCTCTGTTAGTTTATTTTTTTTTTTAAAGTAACACTTCTCTCTGTACTCAGCCAGGCAGATGAATAACTGATCATTTTATTTGCACTATATCATTTAATACCATCCTTATGTTTGTTTGCCTTATCTGTGACTGCTGATTTTTTCTTTAATTAAGATTTTCAGTTATTTAGAAGAATCTGTGCATGTCTAATATTTCAATAACCAAAGCTATTTTGGTTTACTATATGCATTGTAATATGTGGATTAAGTACAACAAAGGCACTAGAAGGAAGACATCAAGAGAAGAAATGAAAAGACTGGATTAAAAGAGTGGGAGGACAAGACTGCAAAACTTCCTGCTGGTATTGAAAATATAAAAAGTGAGCACATTACACCGACCTCCATCACTGTATGTGCACAGCCAGGAAGAAAAACATATGTTCTTGTTTCATCCACCCACCTAGGAGAGCTGGATTTATTACATATCATAAAGAACTTGACAGGCCTGTTGCTTATTACCATACACACAATTTTATTGATTACTTCCGAGAGCTGTTGAATCACTATTTGAACAAGACATGACCCTGTATCACATAAAAGGCAAATAATGGAGACACTGACAGATAGTGTTATTGTACCCCGTGCATTTCATGACTTCTTTAAGGACATTGGTTACCTGCAGTGTTTACTAGTTGTTGATAAGAGCACAAATATTACAAATATTACAACTGTATTCCTGAGCATATTTTTTTCAATCAGATTAAAATTATAATAACATTAAGTCAAAATAGAAACCAAAATTCTAAATTCAGTTTTATATCGCAGCAAGTATACCAGGGTTTGGTTGCCATATCATGGATGAGAAGAATAAACGTATTAGTATTGCACAGCTTGTTATAAACACACAAAGATACACTGTCATCTATGGTATGAAAGATTCTTCAGCTACAAACTTCTATTTGGTCTCCTCTTTGTGACTGTCATTTGCACAAACAGCAGAAGGATAAGCTAAAATGTTGCTTTTACCCTGCAAGTCTAAGAACCAGATCTATGATGCCAACATTCAGTGCCAGATAATTGCAACTCTCTCTCTCAATTATACTTATGTCCTTTAAGAGTGTTCTATAGGGGTCTGGAAGAATCAGATGGATTCTCACCTACAGCTTGAGCGATTTCAAATGCCACCATGTAGTTCTAAATCCGAAACACTTTTAAATGTTGCACTGGCAGATGCAGACTTTGCTAACGCACAAGAAACTCATCTGAAAAGATGTTTGTATAAAAGAAGGCAATTAAATTCACTCATTCCAGTAAATATTAAAATACATTTCCAACAGCAATCAGACTGTCCAATACTGTCACACAAGCAGAATCTTAACTCCTATCTACCATTATGTTGCAAATGTTTTTCAAGATCTCATGATGTTCAATAGTAAACATCCAGACTTCGGTAAGAAAAGACACATGTTAATAAAAATAGAGAAGGGCTTGAGTGCTACATTATGGTTTACTGATGATAGAGATTAATGTTGCAGTAAAGTGAGAGCTTTGCTTGCCCTCTCCTTATTTGCCATATCTCTCAAGAGGACTTATATAGAACAAATATGGAATAAATATCCTTTCAGAGAATAGGATTTACTGCAAAACTGCTGCAGTCTAATTGTAAAGTCACGTCACATCATACCACTGTACCACTCTGAAATTACAGAATAGTTGAGGCTTGAAGTCAGTGAAGAAAATATGTTGAATGTGCTCAGTTAAATATGCAGGGCTCTTAAATTATCTGTGTAACAGACAAGAAGTTTATGAGACCAGCAACGTCTAGATGAGGTTTCAATATGGCTCACAATAGTCTATTGACACAAAGGTTTCTTGTCTTTCTTTCTTCCATAAGTATTTGAGACTGAGAAGAAAAGGGAAATGTTCAATTAAAATATTCTTGTGGAATATCATCAGGAAGCTACAGTTTATCTAAGGGAGATAAAGAATCAGTACGAACTTGGAAGCATTAATCTTAATTTTTCCTTTTTTTTTTTTTTTAAGTAATCTTTAAAATTCAAGGTAAAGAGCATCTATTATTATTAAGATTACTTGCAAGGGTAAGTTCAGAGGAAGGGTAAGTTCAGAGAAGTACTGAACTGGGAAACTATGAGAAGAAATTGTAGGGAATATGAGAAACAACTGACAGGAATCTTGGCCTTATTATCTCCTTTGAACAAAAAAATTTAAAATGGAAGAATGTATTGTTCACCTAAGACTGAAGTGCAAAGAAAGAATTATTTGGCTTAAAATTTCTGGAAGGAGGAGAAACATCATCTCTAGCTAGTAACCAAGGTACAAAAACAGAATTCCCAAATGAGATTTTTTTCCCCCAAGAATTTATAAGCATATAAAATTAGACATAATCTAGAAAATTCTTTCGCAACCCTTACTGTCTTCTGCCAAGTGAACATAAGTCATCTGCATCGAGCTTCATTTTGTACATAGTGGCTCATTTACTCAGGAAAAATGAAACTTCTATTATTTGATGACACTTTTTCTCATTATTGGCTGCATTTCACTGCATAGCACCATCTGGCTCTATGTAATCTCTTTCAGTGCAATAAGCAGAGGCAGATACTGTACTGTACTATGGGTATTAGTGTTGGATATTTTCCAACCAGCCTGTAACTTTGAAGTCTAAGAAATCATACCATTTGGGTGGTGGGCATACTCTTGATTATATGTACCAGTTATCTCAAGTGGAAAGGACACAACTGTGTCCCAGTCTCATTTAATGTGAATCCTAGTGGGTACACTGCACTGTGCAGAGGCAGTGGTAAAAAGGTATAATCACTGACATCCTGATAAATCCTCAGCTACTTAGTATCATCCTTTCCTCTGGCCTTTAATGAGATTTTTCTGGGATCTGCCAACATTTACAACACATATATACATTTAGTTACATAGATACTTAGAATTCTGTATGAACCATTACATATCAATTTCCATCTTATACTTTCAAGGTACCTCACAAATATTCATGAAAATGTTGCCAATTACAAGCTGTTTTCATTAGAACTATGTAAAATAATTTTTTTTAATGTTTTAAAAAATCTGTCCCCTGAACAAAATTTGCTGTAAAATTATCATAAGGACTCACCTTTGTAATAATTTTACAGATAATAAAATTTTCATAAAATGCTAAAATTTACATTTTTTAATATAAAGAGTAAAATACATGTAAAAAAATTAAAAACAATTTAGGTGAGCACAAAAAATAAAAATAAAATAAAATTTAAAAGTTCACATTGTTTACCACAACAGAAAGATAAATGATTTAGTATTAAAGTAATAGAATTCCATTACAAGCAATGGAATTGCAGCCCTTGGCCAATCACACACGTGGATTTAATGATTTAATACACAGAGATACATGTTATAGTTTTTGCACCAATACAATCTTTCTGTCTGACCTGAAAAAAGAAACATAAGCTCTCTGCAAACAGATGATCATGTATAAAATGAGGACAGCAGTTTTCTTCTGTCTCCAAGGAGTACTGTGAGAAATGAAGTGGAAACGGGCTGCTGCTATAGATTATTATTATAGTATTGTAAGTTTTTAAACAGATATAATATCTTTTATAGTAGAGACAAGAGACAACTCAGGTTAAGCTTGCTGATGAAATCCTGAATAATTTATTAATGTGGATCTATAAAGATGTATTTGCTGTAACTTTATGATAAACAAGAAAGCTTAGGGATTTTCTCCTTACAATTTTTTTTAACCATTAGAAGGATAGGTAATATATAACTTTTGTGTATGGTCACTATAAAAAATATTACTTTTCAAGTGGCTTTAACCTGCAGAATTCCAGCTAAGAGTATTTGAGAATTTTCATAGGTCTTCAGATACTTTTCTGTAGTTTTCATTGGTTTTGTCCACCAAAACTCAGTTGAACCTCACTCTTACCCTCTTCTCTGTCATATCAAACCAAACTTCTCCTCATTCTTTTTAAAACCACATGATTGAAAAATCATCTATGTATTTATTTATTTATTTATTTATTTATTTATTCAGTGGGAACCTTGGGATCACAGGGCAGAATCAGTGCAGATTATGGTGTTACAGCCAAATCTCCAGATGACCAGTCCTGAATAAGAAACATCTGAAATTCAGTTGGGAACCTGAATTCTAAGTTTCATGTTTTTATTTGATAATTGCTGGAGAAAAAAAAAAAGGTACTACTAATCTCTCATCTACAGTAGTGACTGGATGTGTCCACAATTCCAGATACTGCAAAGCGTTAAGTGCTCTTAATTCGCAGTAGAACCAATAGGTTTCAGCAATTGCTTGGCCTCTTGCAAGAATATTCCCTTTTTTAAGCTAATAACTGTTACACAATCTTTTATATTTTTAGTGAACCTTAACCATATGTGTGTTCAAAAATTTAAGTCCACTTACACAGCAGCTTAAAAATGTATTTAACATTTTTATAGTTTTATTTTTCCTTTATCTTTTTAAAATGCAGTTTTTAGATATTATATCTATTATAGTTGATGGAATAACATCACAGAATCTTTCTGAAAGACTAAAATACCAACATAGCACAACTTAATAACAGGCTTATACAAACAGTGCAATAAACTTATAGGTACTACATCACTTCCGTTTATTGTGGAGTTTCTAAAGAATAGGAAGAAACTGATAAGCTGTGACATGTTCATCATACGTATGTGCAGTAGTAAATGGAATCTTTGATGCCTTGACAGTAATTTTATTTCATGTTTTACAAAACTTAGAAAGAGGATATTGCTTACCTTTGTCTCAATTTGTTTGGTGTCTAGATTCTGAAAAAGCAGCTTTACTTTTGTTTTTCCATCATCTGAAGAGCCTTTGAGTTGAGAGAATTTAAACCTCCACAGCACATTCTAAAAAGAAAGAAATTTGATTAAGAACTCTGTTACATGTACTTACCTAGAACTATATAGATTGATGCTCAGTGTTTGTATATTAAGATAAAGCATTAGGGCAGTAAATACATTACATGATAAGAGGCTCTTTGCAGAGCAATAAAAATTAACAGTTCTGTATCCTATGTTAAAGGAAAAGATACAATATTGATATTCACTGACTAAACAACTATTTAGATTTAAATTCTGTGAAGGTTGAATGTTTCAGTTGCCTATGTAATATCAAGATCCATGGTAAAAGCTTAATTCCATAAAGATTTATGAAGATATTTGTATCAGTTTCGCTATGAACACAATTCCATGCCATATCTTGATCTTTCATATTCCAGCTGGCTCATCTGTATAACATAGAGAATAGTGTCTTATGCTGCAAAGTTAAATTTACTGATGTATGTAACGTGGTTTGAAATCCTCAAATACACTACAGAAACACAAAAATATTATTATTGAATGTAGTCTTGGAAACCACAAAGATGTGTTCTAATTCACATAGTGGCTTGTAAAATATATAAAAATTCTAGGCTTCTTGGTCTCCTATAGGTTTATGCATGGCATCTGAGTAGTGTTGGCAAATCCTCGATTGACAGATATGCTTTAATATTTATGGAGATACCTATTTAAAACAAAAGTTGGGAAATTATTTTTGAAACCAAGATAATTTTCTGTATTTATCTGAATGTTTTCTATTGATCACCTTAAAATGTATAATTCAAAAACCCTCAAGATAACAACTTGCATCTGGACTTCCTGCTGATGTTTCCTTTAATGCCTATAATCTTAATGAAAATTCTCTGCACATGTTGAAATGTGATTCAGTCCCTGGACACTGCTGAGGAAACACAATTTAAATACTTGGAAGGCTATTTCAAAAGCACACATGGAAAAAAGTTTGCTATATTCCATTTTCCAACATGTATTTTTTCAAAATATTTTTTAAGTAGACCAGTGCTACCGGTAGTCTTCAGAACCCTACTCATAGTTTAAAAGGGAATGCCCTAGAAATAAAAACTATCTCCTGGTTCCCTGCAGACATAAATGTCACTGCCTTCTTAGAGAAATATAACAGATTAAAAAAAACCCAACTATGCTACAGCACTGTGATGGTGCTTAAACTTTACATTCATGAACAGATTTTAACTGGGTCCAGAGGGCCTAATTAGACCACCTGAGAAGTGTTCAAAGCTTAAATGAGTTTGGCTCTAAACAGGATAGATGAATGTTTGCTATGTAATATAACTGCTAAGGTGGAGATGAAACAAGAACTTAGGAACAATTTAGCAATAATAGGCATTGCTGGAGTCATCACCTCTCTCAACGGTTGACACTGAGTGGGAAAGAAGAGAAGTAGATAGTTCTGGAAGGTGGAAGAAAATGCACACTTTGGGATCCCTTTATCTCGGATGAGCAGCTGGAGACACAGGATGGGGAAGATGAACCAGCCAAGCCAACAAGAGAAAAAGAATCTCTACAAATGTGATATAAAGCAGCTGCAGACACAAAAGTATCTCTGTGGTAGGCCCAAAACAATAACAGCTGAATGAGTTAAGCCCATGATGACCCAGGAAAAGAAGTAATTCTTCCAAATAACTTTAAGAATCCACCAAAACTATTCTAGAAAAGAATTTTCTAAAAGACACTTAAATTTCTTGTGTAAGAGAGAGTAGTGAGAATATGTGAGAGAAACAACCCTGCGGGCACCAAGGTCAGCGAAGGAGCGGAAGGAGGTGCTTTTCCTGAAGGACTGCACCCCATGGGAGGGACCCACACTGGAGCAGTTCATGAAGAGCTGCAGCCCATGGGAAGGACTCATGTTGGGGAAGTTTGTGGATAACTGCTTTTCTGGAGCAGGGGAAGAGTGTGAGGAGTCCTCATCCTAAGGAGGAAGGAGTAGCAGAGATAACATGTGATGTACCCACTGCAGCCCCCATTCCTGATCTGCCTGTGCCGCTGGAGGGGAGGAGATAAAGAAAATAGGGAATAAATTTAAGCCTGGGAAGGAGGGAGAGGTAGGAGGAAGGTGTTTTAAGATCAGGTTTTCATTTCTCATTAGCATACTCCAATTAGATTGGTAGTAAACTAAAGTAATTTCCTCAAGTGGAGTCCCTTTTGCCCATGACAGTAAGCAGTGAGTGATCTCTCCCTGCCCTTATCTTGACCCACAAGCCTCTTGTTATATTTCCTCTCCTCTGCCCAGCTCAGGAGGAAGCCGGGGTCAATCCACCACACTCCAAAGCAAAAGTTCTTGTGCTTTTTGTTTCAGAATTTGTAATAAGAAGGCCCATTTTATATTATTTTTCAGACTATAAAAAAGAATGTTTTTCAATAAGTACATGAACTGGTTTCCCAAAAATTGAGATCCAGGTTTAGAGTCATAGAGCAAACAGCGGACTGGTTTTTATTTTAATAATCCTGTAGGAACACCTGCTGTGGTGTAAGAGCATTCTTTGCATCAATAGAAGACCTTAATTTTTTCATTATCTCAAAAAAAAGATTTTTCAGCAAAATTGCTATGTCCCTAATGAACTGCTAATTGCTTGACCACTTTAAGAATCTTTTCTGTGTTGGTAGGAAATATTCTGAAATAGCTATGCATATGGGGCAACACAATCAACTAAAGGTGACAATTACAGGACATAAGATGAACTGCAGAAGTCACCCATTACTGCCTCACTCGGGTTTGAGGATGCAGAGGACATGTCCATCTCTCAAACAGATGAAAAATAAATGTACTCAACTTTTCCAGAATTTTTACAGTTTAACAACAGAATCAGTCTATTTGATGGTATTCTGTATTTCTCCTTAGGTAAGCAACAAAAGTTCATCTAAATTCTCTTCATCATCAATACTGAAGGTAGGCACTCTGATGGAAACTCCTATCAATAGAGTGAGTTTATTATTTTAAAGGTGGGATTATCTGCAATCAGTCTTCGCATTAAAAAGAAACATTCTATAAAATCTATAGAGAGATTACTTTTTATAGTTAATTTGTGGCTACATGAAAAATGTGTATACTCGTGCAAGAAGCACAGTTTCAGAATGCAGTATCACCTGAGGCAGGGAAGGGTATGCATATGTATTTCGTGGAATTTTATGCTACTTCATAGGATAGCACATTAATGAAATTAGTCTAAATTTTCATGCAATCTTGGTCATTATTTCTCTGCACAAAGATTTCAATAGACTTGTCCATTTTGGCCCTAAACCTACAAAATACCAACATGCAAAAAAACCACCCTAGATCCTGTGTATTGCAAAATGTAGTGTATTCCCTCTTAACTCAGAATGACTGACTGAATTTTTTAAATATATAGTTGAAAAATCCTTTCAGTTAGGAGTTGAAGACCATATTTGAAAGGACAGTCCTTTTACTGCATAGTTCTATTAATGCAGAAACATTATTTGTATGTATGTTTACTTCTAATTCAAACAAATGTTAAAATCCATTTAGAATAATTTAAAGTATCAGCAAATTATATATAAAATAGTAGCATTATCGACAGGACTTGGAAGTTGGCACGTACCATAAACCATGCCCTGCAGGCACTTTCCATATAGCCATTGTTTTGCAAAATAAGTTAATTTAACCTTTTAGATTCTGACTTTGAAATAAATTTGCCTTTGTTCTGTTTATTTTAGATGTGGCCTAAATTTCTTATGATAGAAGAAGAATTAATCCTATTTTATATCTGTAGCTTCAAAACAAACAGAATCAGGTGACATTTCATTTCTTTCATGATTTGTAATCTTTTACTAATCTTGAAGTTTCTTCATTACAACAAACCAAGTTCTCTGCTAAATAACCTTCTTTTGCTTTTATTGCTTGAAAAGGAAACTACTTTTTTATATCTTTCTCCAAAATTTATCTCTACATGCTAAGGCACAACTAATAATTGCCCCTTTGAAGTCCCAAACTGACCACATTTCAGTAGTGCTAAATAAATAAATAGAACAGTATATGTGAGGAATAAAGACTGGACATCAACATAAAAAAATGCAATAACTGATAACTTCAATAACAGTAAAATAATACCAAGGGTTTTTTCCTCTTCTTTTCCTCTTACCTTTGTTTTACTGTCAAAACAGGTAAATCCTAGAGCAAAGTCGATTGTGAAACACAGAGTATCCCCTTGCCAACTACACATATATGTTTTAGACTGGAAAAAAAAAAAGTATGATTTTTAAGAGAACAACCATCATTGTAATTTACCATATAAAAAATATTTTGTGCAGAGGGTTTTTTTGTATGCGAAGACACTCAATCAGCAACACTGGTACTGCTTTATATTACTACATAAATACCATATTCTTGAAAACCATCCCTTACAAAATGCAACACAAAAAAAGTCAAATCTGACTATTTCAAACTTTTGGCAAACTGCTTAGACCAGAGTTATTAATGACTTCTGACATCACTTCCAGCAAATATGCAGGCAACAGTGCCTAAGTGTTTTGTCATTGCAACCTAATTATGAAAAAGCATTCTGTCTACTTGACCTCTCCATCTGATTTAAACTTTGTAGACAGTCTTTCTATTTTAAAACATATTTTCATTTGTAAACTCTGGTGACATGCCAGCACAGCACTGTGTTAATGTTAGTTAATGCAATTTGATAATAAGAATAGCTATCACCCTTTAGTTAGCACTGATACTTGCTAGACAGTGCTCTATATACACCAGCTCTATGATCACCTTTCAGGTTAGAAAGAAAAAATTCTATTTTATTAACAAAACCAGAAGTTCTGTTTAAACTTCTGAATAAGTCTTAAGGCAAAAAGTCAGTTAACTCTTTCTGTGTATTTTTAAAGCTTGCTCTCTTAGGTATATAATAGATTCTGAAAAGACATGAAAAAGTTTCTGCTGATGATATGAAACAGCTTGATGACATTCACCACTGACAGCTAATAGCAAAAAGCCCTTTGCCTTCAGCCTGAGTAGACATCTGTCCCAGGGCTTTCCTTTTCAGTCATTTTTAAGACTACACCTTTGTGCCTTATGAAATCTTTGATTTTTTTGTTTGTTTGTTTGTTTCTTCCAAGGCAGTTTTACTTTACTCTCATTGCTATTTCATAAACCTCAATTCTGCCTCACGCTTAAACCTTTGTTGACATGAAAGTTTTGCATCTGGATAGTTTTATTAAATTAAAAAAAATTGACACAAGAACAGCCTAGAAGAGACTGAAAGCATTAATGTAATTGCTTAAATTGAAAATTGTAATTTTAATTATTTTTTAAAGATTTTTAATAAAACCTAAAACTTCTGCATGATTGTAAAGGTTTCCTCATTCCAGTACTAATAAAAATACTTAGAGTTATAGTAAAATAAGCATTTCTGAGTTACAGTTATGACATTTTATAAAGGATTTTGAAAGGTTTGGGAGTGAAATTAATTAATTAGTGCAGATTAGTATTATAATCATCTCCACAATGATGGAGACATATAACATTTCTGAATAAATAATTTTGCTAATTGGTGTTCTAAGATCATATTATTTGGCATTTTAAAATATTTCAGTGATTGATATTCAATTAGAATGACATTTACATATCCTTACATTTTATTCAGTAATTATAAGGTGGCATTAAGCAGCAGTCATAACTTATTTTCCATTATTTCCCAAATGTTCTAAAATGAACTATGCACAAATAATTAGCCTGGAGTACTTTAAAAATATTCAGTATTGGCAAATAATGGAACTGGTTTGGAAATTTTTCACAAATACTAGAGACAAATAGAATATGCTGCATTTTCACTGTGATAAACATTACATATAGATGTGTTTTTTACCTAAAAAACACACTCAATAGTGTTTTCTTTACAATAGAATTGCATTTCACCATGTAAATTTAAAAGCCTCCTTATGTCACTTCCTTCAGTTACTTTGAACATGTTCTCGGATAGCTCTGTGATAAAGACCCTCATCTCTACTCATTAACACTAGGACAGAGCACTATTCCTTTTCATTTCTGCCTTTGGAATAAGCTTCCCATACACTTGCAATTGTGTGATCTACAACAATTGTTTACACAAAAATTTAATATCAGAAGTCTAGGCTTAGTTGTCTTTCAGTGAATGTTGCAAAAAAAAAAAATAAATAGCACTGCATATTAGCCAGCTTCAGAAGTCACAGTTTAGACAACAGAGAGGAAGAGAATAGGCCTCATACTGCAACAGCTAAGATAATTGTAGTTTACGTCCTAAATCAGTATTTTCTGAGCAATGTATAATGATTTGTGGAATAATTATATTTGTAATAAAAGACAATTACAAAGCTTTTACCTGTCTAATTGTTCAGGTATCAGTGTCTCAAAGCATACACTTTTAACTCACGAAAAGATCATTAAGGTGATAATATCACTGTCCAAATAGCATAAGAACAGTGTTTCTGATTCATCCATAGAAGGAACTTCTTAGACACCCTGTCACTGATCAGAAGCAAGACACTAATGTATCTTTGGCACTGGTATCTTCGTCCAAGACCCTAAGAAGGCTTAATAGTTACAATGACTGCACATATACACTCAATCTCTTTCCCACAGACATAGAGATTTCTAGACATAGAGATGGTCTAGTTGACAAGGTGGTGATCAGGTAAAGGTTGGATTCAATGATCTTAGAGGTTTTTTCCAACCTAAATGACTTTGTGATTCTATCTTCCTTGCCTCTCATTCCCACCTACAAAATTCTTGACACTTCCATCCCAGCTTGATCCTACAGATAACTAATACTATGAGGCTTGAGAAACTTAGTACTTTTTACTATGGTTGCTATCAATTAGTCTTCCATGACTGTGCAGACATCTTGGAATCTGCAGAAGTTAATTAGCACGGAAGAGTTGGGTTAATTACCTCTTAATAGGGAACAAAAAAAAAAGCTCCTTTCATGTGTGTCTTCCATCAGTTTTTACAAAAGGGCAAGGACAAGGGACAGTTTGCTTCAGTAGTTCAAAACAAAGACTGATGTAGGATTCTGTCTCACACTGAGAAGAGACTTCACAAATATGTTCAATGACAGGGCAACTAATTCCCAAACCAGCTTTTATGACTATCAGTTACAATGACTCTGTCCCTCAGAAGAGAGAATGGGTTTCTGAACAGATCTGCTAACATAACAAGTAGGGCTTTACATTTGGTTTATGGGTGTTAGGTACCCAAGCCAAGAGGTGAGTAAATGCTAAAACTGGAGACTGAATGCATGGGAAAAGACAACAAGAGAGACTTTCTTACTTCCACTCCAAGAGGAAAGCACAGATATACCTCAAATATCTGTAAGTGACAGGCAGAACCTGAGGCACAAACAGAAAGGGGGACCACTTCATGTTTAGTCACTGGCCTGTGATGAGGTAGGAAGCAAAAAGACTTGGTGGGTAGCAAGCACCACTGCAGCCCAGACACAGATGGCTTGGGAAGGAAAGGCTTCCTCTTACTCAGTTTCCTTCTATCCATAGAGGTCCTTGTCCACACTCAGCCATAGTATGGAGGCATAAGAAAGCAAGCGTGCTCTCCACATTAGACAGAGGCCTTCTGATTTCTCCACACACATACGGGTCTCTGGGGTAGGCTGAAGGTATAAGTACATTTGGTTCCATCTGGGACTGGGTAGTCCAAATGCTTCTAAATAAATCTGGACATTAAATAGACTTTTGTGGTTACTGGAATACACATGGAAAGCAATGCTTTCGCTGGAAGGCCTAAATTTGCCCAAGTTCTGCCACAGGCGTCCAATGTAGTATCTCTGGATTCTTTTTTGAAGACACACAGTCTTTACTGTTACTCTGATGTGGGATTGTATTCTGTTTAAGAAATAGTGGCTCAACTTGCTTATGTTTTTCAGTAAAATTCTTTAATATCATGATTACTATTAATGTCTGTCGAGATGTCACATTCTGAGGTCATCAACAAATACTCTTAGTAAAAGAAATACCATTTAAGATCAGTTTTAAAGAATCAGGTGGGTCAGTTACCAGCCTTTTTCAGACAGTATTCCTTTTCCTAAATTTTTCTGGCAAATAAGGTTTTTAAGGAACAAATGAGGCTCACTGATGTTGTTCATCTAAGTGCAACTCAGAAATATAAAATAGTGTATATCTGTTTTAAAGGACATTTTCTAACTCTGGAGCTGTTGTTCCTAACACCTCATCAGGTTTACAGTTTCAAAAATTCAGCTGATGCTTGGCTACATTGTGGTTAATTGTAGCCTTGCGTGAAGAAAACCTCATTTTGCTTTAACTGCAGCATTCATATGCAATACATTAATTCATTTTGGACTCAACTATGTTCTTTTGAGCAGGAATTTCAGTGTTTTTGATCAGCCAAAATACAGAAATAATACTGGTCTTCTATTCTACATGAAAACAAACTTGGCATGGTTTTCCTTGTTTATTTTCCAAAAAGGAAGTGGAAAGTAGGCAATACGATTACACTCCACCACTTGAACTATACATTTTCTCTGCTACTCTGTTAACTACTTTATACATGTAAACATACATTTGCTCTAAGATGGGCTGTAAAGGTTTATTGCATGTAAGTGGAAACACAGACACTATTTCTAATTATATTCATGATATAGAATTCAACACATACTTTTTAAAAATAAATTATAACCAGACAGTAAAACATTTAGGCAAGAACCATATTTGTATAGTATACATATTGCACACTGTGCTCACTTATTCGCTTTAAGATCAAATGTGTGCTAAGCCTCTCTGTGAAAATAATATGACATCAATATAATAAATGCTAAAATCTTAATAAAACTTTGAATTTGCTTAGAAAGGGGAGTACTTACATTAAAATTAAATTAACCTTTTATTATTAATCCAATGAATATGTTTTTGGGATATTGTTTTCCAGAGACACCTCACCCCTTTTACATGTAAAATAACACGGTTCATGAGAACACACTTTTGTTTGTTCAGTAAAAACAGCACCTACTTCATATATAATAAAACAGCCATCATCATCTGGTCTTTTTCCTTTTTTTATAGTTAACTATCAATGAATATAGATACAATGAATATATAACAATAGTGCATGCATTTAGCATATTTAAATTAGTGATGAAGTCCAAACCCTTAAAAGTTAATGTCAAAGCTCTTTTGAGCTATTTGAGATTTACCTGTTATTTTTTAATGTAAAATATTAAATAATTTGACA